CATTCAAGAAATCCATCTCCAGCTGGATGGAATCCTTCCTTTCTTCCCGCTCAGCCTGTGCTAGATGATGGCTGGCCTGTTCCTCCTCTCCCCTCCAACATCACACCCCATTCCCACCAGGACAACACATTTCAGTAGGGTTTTTGCATGGTCACAAAATCCTGGGGTTGCCAGAGGAGATGTTTGCACATTAAACAGCATTTTTTGAGAAGATTAATTGGAATTTCTACATGACAAGGAGCTCCAGGGAGCTGCATCCCAGCTCCAGAGGGTTGGGATTTTCCCTTTTTTCTGGGAAGCAGCTTGGGCACATTTAACCTCAGGTTTAACCTACCCACGCCACTCAAATCCCTTGGGATTCCACAAAAAATCCCAAATCCCAGCCAGGCACATGCAAAGGACCAGCCCCAAATGCTGCTCCTGTTCAGATATCTTGGAAAATGGATTTTCCACAAAGCAAAGGAGCAGCTTGGAAGTCACCCAGCCCACGAGAGAGCACAGACACAGCAGGGACTGTGCCTGCAGCCAGGCATGTGCCAAAGGGAATAAACTCAAGGGGCAGCAGCCCAGAGCAGCATGGGGAGGAGGGAACAGAACAACTGACAGGGCACATCAGGGTTTGTTCCCAGCCCAGCCATAAGAGAAAGAGAAAAGTCACATCTTGAGTAGCTATAAAAATCCAAACTGGGCAGATGGAGGAAATGCCCCATGGCCATGGAGGAAAGCGAGGTGGGGAGGACAGAGGTGATGAAAAGGGCATTCCTGGGATAAAATTACGTCCAACTTTTTCTCCCAGCTCCTTACTGGTACCTCAAAAAGTTCCTTTTTTTCCTCTCTGTGTGCCCTGAACCCCATCTAAGTTCCTCATTTGCTGTGTGGGGAAAAGCCAAATCCCAGAGCCCCCTCCTGCCCTTCAGCACCACAAATTCCCAAATATTTCTGCCAAAGCACAGAAAATATTCCCAATTTATTAAGCTGGCTGAGCCCTGTGTGAACTCCACCAAACCAAAGGTGTCTCCCAAAGGTTTTCCACTCTCTCTCCCAAAAATCTTAGCTCATTTCTGTGTCACTCCTGGCCTTCCCATCACATTAAGACATTTATTAGAGAGTGCCTCTGAGCCTGGGCTGAGCATCCCAACCTGAAAAGCCACCAGGAGCCAGAACTTTGCTTTTCTCCACCCCCAGAGCCTCAGGCCATGCTGGACACAGCAGAGAGGTTTGGGAATTGCCTGTTTTCCACTGCAAAAGTTGGAAAACTATACTACCACCCCAAACCACTTAGTTCTGGGCATTTGGAGCATCCTCCGTCCCCTCAGCTCCCTGGGACAGCCGTGGAATGTCCATGGAATGGCATCCCATGGGCACAGGGAGAAAGGGTCACCCACACACATCCCAAAGGCTCCAGCTCCCACATTCCCTGCTCTCCTGCAGCAGCTCCAGCACACACACACACACACACACACACACAGAAATGGGATTTTAATGACCAGGAGACCCTGCTCCAGCCTCCTCCCACCTCCTGGGTTTGTGCTGGATGCTCTGAAGGGAACATTTGTTGCAGGAGCTCCAACTTCTCTTGCTCGCCCACCAGCTGCCACAGCAGAGGAGGATTTCCAGCCACAAACATTCCCTTTCTGTTCTCCAAAGGGCTTCTCCCACCATTAAAATTCATTTTGAAATTATTTTTTTCCTTTGTAAAGCAATGCAAGCAGGCACTGCCAGCATGAAAGCCCAGCACCCAGCATTCCTGCAGGACAGAAATGTTTTGTGCCCTACATAAAATCAGGAGTGGGATGCTAAAAGATCATTCCTGCCATCAAAATAAGGCTGCTCAACCAGTGTAAATTCATCACTAAATCCAAACACCTTCTGTTCTAACAGGCCTCTGCTCCTGGATGCCAAATGTCATGGAGAACATCCAACTCTCAGGTAACCAGGGGTTAAATCTGCCACAGCCTCACAGAGCCTCCACACTCCCAAAAGCTGTCCCAAATAATTAATTTTCCTGCTATTTTCAAGGTGATTTCTAATGATTTCACATCAGAGGGTGAAAGGAGTTCAGGCTGAGTCCCATGTGTCACCAGCAGAAAGGACAAGTGGCAAAGAAAAGAAAGGGCTGGAGCGAAGGAAAACCATCTGGAAAACCCAGGAGAAGTGAGAAAAGAATCAGCTCCTGGCTCTTTCCAGGTGCCAGCATTTGGAGTTTTGCATGAGCGAGGCCTGGGAGCTATGAAACAAAAAATGGGGTTAGAAAGTGCAGAAAATGCCACGTTGGCTCAGCCTGGTGTGGACACTTGGGGGTTTCTCTGAGCAGCAGAAGGGTCAAAAAATCCACAAATTTAGGTCCAGATTGACCCCATTTCATTCTATTTAAACTGAGCTGCTTCACCCTAAATTCCTTCCCTGCTTCGTGCAGGGGCAATAACAAGAACTGTGTGTAAAAAGAAAAAATAAAGGGTTTATCTGATGTAAATTTGGAGTTACAAAGTGAATATTTGATATTCCTTCAGCTGGTGCCCACTGCCCCATCCTCCCTGCTGCATTCCTGGCTCATCCCTACCACAACAGAGCGGGATATCCCCAGGGGTGGTTTCCTCTGGGAAACACCTCCTTGCTCCCAGCCCTGCTCCACAGCAATGACGGGAGCTTGGATTCCCGGATTGCTTTTGTGATGCTGAAGGCCGGCGCTTGGCAGCAGCAGGAGCAGGGAGATTCCAGGAGCAGGGAGATTCCAGGGCTGGAATCGTGTCCCCAGGCAGAGCCAGGCGCAGAGAAATGACTTTAGCAGGCTGCCTTCATCCTGCTGCTGTCGGCTTTCCCCGATTTTCATCCCTGGATGTTTAATGTATTCCGAGGGAGGCGTGGAGACAGCGAGGGAGAGCCAGACAGATTTATAATGTGCCAAAAAAATAAGGTCATTTGGCAGAGGTTTGGGTGCTGCTGTGCCAGGGCTGGGAATGTCTGCCTGGATTTAGGGAGCACACCCAGCCTGGGAGGAGTTGGGATTAGGAAGCACAGCCTCCCCCCTCTGCCCGGCCAAAAAATCAGCTCCATCCTCTGTGCCCATCCTCCTCCTCCTGCTGCTCTGCTTCCCATCCTCACCTGCAATGGATGTGTGGGTGTGGATGAGGGAAAGCGATTTTCCCTGCAAGACACACAGGAAAAAGGGTGGATCTGTGATATTGGGCAGTTCCTGCAACACCTGGCAGCAGGGCTGAGTCAGGGCAGTGCCAACACGTGGGAATGGGAACTCATGATTCCCCTGGGAGCAGCACAGGGCATTGGAAACCCCAGCCCAGAGCAGGATGCTCTCTATAAAATCCCTGTTTTATGGCATTTAGACCTTAGCAAAAGACTGACTTCACCTTCCAGCAAAGGGTTCAACTCCCTCCTCCTATTGCCACCTCCTAAAAGAGCATCTAAACCAGAAATCCAGGAAAATCCCACCCTCCAAAGCCTGACTGGGGCAGAACCAGCAGCCCACGCTGGCACTGGGTCACTTCAGGGCTCGCAGACAGCCAAAACCTCATCCAAAAACCTCATCCCAAAACCTCACCCCTGCTCCTAAAGGCCCGGGAAACCTCAGCTATTTCCCGGCTGCTGCAAGGAAAAGCTGCAGCTAAAGCCTTGCAAATCTCGGGCACGAGGCTGTGCTCACACCGCAGCTGATCCCGGGCTGGGGATTAAGGACAGGGATTGGTAATTAAAGACAGAGGGGCACAAAGCAGGCTCGAAGTTTTTTCATTTCCAAGGATTGCGTGTGGTTTGGGGGCTGTAAAGAGCTCGGCGATGCAGCAGCAGTGTGACTTGAACAATGCCCTGATGGGGTGATAAGGGTTGAGCATTTCCGACTCTAATTAAGAGGAAACCCCGGAGGGTAATGAGCTGCTGGGTCATTACGGCTTCGTGTGCCCGCAGGACACAGCCTGGGAGCTCCAAACTCCCCCAGTTTCTGCTGCTTTATTGGAAACTGCAGATTTTAACCACCAATACACCTTAAAAGCCACCAAAAATGTGGGTAACACTGCTAGTTAAACACATTTCTCCACGTTTTGGTCTCTCAGGACAGCACTTTGTGAGGATGATAAGCCAGATCCCTGGGAGATGTGCTCCTAATCCTATTTGACCACTCAATCCTTTATTTCCTTGTGTCTTTTTTTTTTCCTCCTGTAACCATGTTCCTCCCCTCTCTTTACCTATCCTGGTTTGTTTTTTTTTTCATTGTATTAATTCCCACTACAGCTCCATTACAACCAAAACTCTCCTGGGACCATGAGCCAGCACCTGGATACAAATCCTGACTCTCCCAGATTGCAGCTTTGTTTCTATTTCTCGCTTCCTTAAGCAAAAATAATAAATATATAATGCCCAACATAAGGAAAGCAAGCAGCCCTTTCTATTCCCATCAGCCTCATCCACAGGTTTCTCAGCTCTGTGGATCCAGAATGACACCAGATGGGAATGCTTTGCTGAGGAGCTGGATGAGGAGGGGATTTGGGTTATTTTTTTCCCTATTTTGAACAACAAAGTTCCTTCTGTGTAAACTGCAAGCCACCGTGTGCATGGTGACACGTGCCTGTACATTAATTACCAGCTAATTAAGAGCTCTTGGAGCAGTTTGGGAGACAAGGGATGTTTGGAGGATGGATGGCTCAGGTTTTCCAGACCATTCCTCCTCCCCAGGCACTGAAGTGCAGCTCTCCTCTGCAGCAGGGAAAGGAAGATGGAAATAGAGGAAAACATCTCTGGGGGAGCATGAAGGAACCATAAATGGGGGAAATGCTGGTGAGATTGGAGAGGAAGGAGGATTTGGAGGTTGGGACACCCCTGTTCTGAGCACTTCCCTTCACCCTGGTGGATTTGTTCCTCCTGTGGCTGCAGGGAGAAACAGGCAGCTCCCACATTTGCCAAAACCACCGTGAAAAACCCCCCTCCCCACTGTCCCCAGCACCGTGGTGGCCCTGAGGGGTGGCAAGGCCAGCCTGGGGACAGGGACTCACCAGGACTGCGGCTTCCTCTTCATGATGCCCTGGCGTCTCCACTGCGAGTGGGGGCTCAGGTGGTAGGTGAGCTGCCTGCAGAGCTTCTCCATGGCTCCCAGGGAGTCCCCTTCCTGCAAAAACATGGAAAGGACATGGGGTGAGGGCTCTGCAGCATTGCCACCACACCCAGGGGGTGCTCTGAGCCCAGAGTGGCTCCAGCTGAGAGGCCTTAAGGGATCACCCTTAAAACTGTCTAGAGAGGGGGGGAAAACCTCTCTGATTGCTAAAATTCTGCAGGATGATGATGATGATGATGATGATGATTCTTATTATTACTACCACTACTACTATTACTACTATTACTATTAACTTTATTATTATCCCACCGTTACCATCTGACACCATGCAACAGCTTCCAGTGCTAAAATGTGGCAGAGATTGATTAAATTTGGTTAAATCACCCATTCATCACCACCAAAAGCTGCTTCCCAGAGGCTTTGTGAGCTGATGGAGTCTTGGGAAGAGAAAGTCTCACAACACTTAATTGTTAGGAAAAATAAAACATGAAGAAATGTGGCGCCTTCTTGATTTTGGATCAAATTTCCCTCCCAAGGGATACTGGGCTTGGAAAACTTGAACTCTGAAAGTTTCTAAGGATTTGGGTCTAGAAATTTTGGGTCCTAAAAATAAAATAAAACACAATCCTCAGTATCCAGACTGTTCCATCATGTTTCAGGATTTTCATACACATGATCTGCCATCCAGTAATTCCAACCACCCATCCTGCAGTGCCTCTTTTGCTCTCTGAAAGGTCACAAGCAGAGATGAACCTGACTGAAATATCAATAATGACAAAAAGAGATCCAAAATGCGACAATTTGTGCTGTCTGCCTGGTTTTATCAAACTGCTGCATCATTAGGGAGGACACAGGAATTAAAGAGGAAAAAACCCTACAATAAACAGTCAGCCTGGGCTGCTCAGCTACAGGCATAGCTCAGGATTTTCTGGGAAAATACAGGCAGGAATGCTGAGGAAGGTGCTGCATCTCCTCTGCCTGGACAGCCAATTATTGCTGCCTTCACATCCTCCCTGAGAGCTCAGCTTTTGCAGCCTAATTTATGAAATTTATGCAATTTATGCAATTTATTCCCCCCTTCACCTCCGCATCAGTGGAGCGGGACCGGCCTTATAAAGACATCATAAATATTGAATTACCCAGGAGCAATTGGGATTTTGACAAATCACTTGGGGGTGTACAGGGAAACAATTACAGCAGGTTTTCTCAGGGTAAAAAAACACCCAAACCCACAACAACCACAAACCCAGGACATCTCTGCAGGTGGCTGGGGCAGAAATATCAGCCAGGATTTGTGAGGTTTGACTCCACTCTAACAACGAAGCCTTGTCTTAAACTGGGAGGGTTTCTTCCCAGATACATCATGATGATTCCCATGAATCACCAGCTGATTTTCCAGCTGATTTTTCCCTGCTAATTCCAGAGTGGTGCTTGCCCAGCTTGCCAGGGGATTTCAGGTAGAAACTGCAGATCCAGGGATCCCAGCAGGACACAGAGTATGGAAAACCCTGGGAACCAGGAGCCATTTTCCCCCTGAGCCTCTGATTCCCAGGAAATCTGGGTTTATAGGAGCACATTTAAACCCCTGCTTTTCAACACCTCATTCACCACCACGCTGAACCCAAAATCTGGGTTTTCATCCCACAGATTTAATTCCTCAGCGTTCCCACAGCTCCTCTCCCACTGCAGGCCCTGTGGCAAAAACCAGCCCCAGGCCTGGATGAACCCTGGGAGGCTCAGCCTGTAGAATGAACACTGAGAAAATTAAGAAAAGCAAGATTTTTACCTCATGTTTCCCACTGGAAAGCCTGAAAAAGCAGGCAATTCCTTAATTAGAGCCTCAAAACATTTGGGAAGGCAACACTGCCAGCAACACCTTCCCGGCTGTGGAAGCACCCGCCCCAACATGAGAAGAAAACACCACGGATTTTGACACCTCTCTCTCTCTCTCTCTCTCTATATATATATATATATATATATTTTTTTTTTTTTTTTTTACCTGCCAGCTGCCAGCAGCTTTCATTTCATCTGCTTTTCAAAACATTTTTAAGAATTGCAGCAGCCCCTGAAATAGCAGAGCCCACCCTCAGGGATGAGCGGGGGTTTCCAGCTCCGAGGCCTCCCTGGAAAAACTGCCGTGGAAAAGGAAACAATGTGCTAAAATCGTGAGGGGGAAGGACACTGGGCTGGCATTTTGTGCTGCAAATCGCCTCCAAAATAACCCTGGAAAAAACAATTCAAGCTGTCTCCAGCGTTATCCCAGCTGAACTGTTAGGGAAGTGAAATGATTCACAAGAGGAACACGGAGAAGCTGAGAAAGTAAAAAAAAACCACCACAAATTTTTGCTGTTTCAGGTGTGTCATGGCCATCTTGCCTCTCCAATGAGGTTTTTTGAGGTTTTTGATGAGGTTTTTTTTTCCCTCAAGCAGCTCCCAGACCCCCAGATGGCTGAGGGAAGCTCAGGCCTGAACTTCCCATCCTGAATAATTTCAGTTCCTGAATAATTCAGCCCAAAGGAGTTCAGCTCAGCAAACCCAGCCCATCCATGCTGGTACAGGAGCAGGACAAGGAGTATTTTAATATTTTCTCCATATCCAGCTCATCTTTCCATGGCCATCCCCACCCTTTCAGCCCTTTTTCTTCACAAGCTCAACTCCCAAGCCCTGCAGGTCCTGGGATATTTCTGTTTTGGAGGGTTTAATAAGTGATTTAGAGCACATGATTCCTGCACACATCAACTCTGTAGATAAAAAAAAATAATAATAACAAATAAAATTCCCATTTCAGAGCCCTCCTAACGCACAGGATGGGCTCCTTCCTTCTGCACATCTCATTCCCACAAATTCTGTGCTTCAGGAACCTCCGTTTTTTAGGTTTTTACCCAAACCTCTACAGCCCCAAAACTCATGTGCAGGAGAAGGGACTTTGCTGGTGCTGTTCCAAGGCCTCCAAACAAAAGCTTTTCCTTGTTCCTGATCCAAGTCTATCAGGAAATAATTGGAGCTGACACACACACCCTGGTGGGACTGAGCCCAAGAGCTTGTTTGGAAAAGGAATCAGCATAAAAATCAGCTTAAAAAACCAGCCCAGCTCGTGCTGGCAAGGTTTGAACCTCACTGGGGAATGGGAAGACCCCCAGTTGAGGGGATTAGCCTGGGGGAGGGATAATGCCAAGAATTCTTGTGGGATGCTCCCTCTGCCTTGGTATAACATCTCTGCCCTGCACCATCAGAACCCTCAGAAGGATGGAGAAAAAGACACAAACCCTTCTGGGCAGATTCTCCTGCTTCCAGGGGTGAAGCACTTCCCACAACAACAAAATCGAGGCCAAAAGCTCTTTCTGCCACATCTCCATCAGTCTGCATCACATCACTCATGGAAGGTCAATATAAAGCTGATTTTTTGTGGTCAGAGGGCAGGGAAACCTCAACCTGCAGAGCCTGAATCCCACAGGACTGGGTTTTGGGAAACCCTGAGTGCCCTTTCCATGGAAAGGACAACAACCAAGCACAAAAATTGCGTTTTCCAAATTTTCCAACCCAATCCCAGCAGCAAATGCTCTTGAAATAATACACAGGAAAGGTATCACACAAGATGTGGCCCCTCTAACATCCACAGGGGGTGGAAATGTACATTTTTTATCTGGTTCTCAAACTCTGGGAGAAAAATTGCATGGCAGCGCTGGGGAGATGGGACAGACCACACACATACAGAGTCCAGCCTTCCCAGCTGATGCTGCTGACAGGAAAAAAGCTAGGATGTGCCTTTTTCCTGAGCACTGAGCTCCCAGCCAGCTGATAAATGCTTGGTGAGGAGCCCCCAGCTGAGCTCCTACACATCCATCAGCCACACATCTGGGAATATCCATGAATCTGTTCCCACTGCCACGATCTACAGCTCCTGCAGGGAGAGAATCCTGGGTCACACACAGCAAAAATGCTGTGGGCAGCACCTAATGGATCCCTTAGGATTTTAGCTGTTATATTTTTCATATATTTGTAATCCTGCAGTTCTTTAGTGCATAACTCTAAACTACATATACAGTGCTCACTGCTGTTCTCCCGTTTTTGTCAGACACAAAAATTCCTCTCCAGGCCTGGGAATCAAGGACACCTCACTGCCTCAGGCCCCGAGAAATGTAAACAAAAGTGAGTTGGGGGAGCAAACTTGGGGTAAATGACTTCATTACCTGAAGCTGTAATTGGAAGATTAACCTCCAATATGTAATTGGACTAAAATTATAAAAGTATAAAAACCTGTGGCCCCACATCCATTTTGAGCACAGCCCCTGGGGGACTTCATCTGCCCTAAATGTACCTGAAGGCCCTTCAATAAATATAAATAAGCTGCTTTTTATTACCTTAATTCTGCCTGCCCTCTGTTTTTAGGTGGCCCAAAAAGGCATCAAAATCAGCTCCTGGAAGGAGCAGGAATGCTGCACAGCTCTCTCTTCCCCTTCCATCCACTCTGGAAGCTCTGAGGAGAAGTTGAGCCCTGCTGAGCAATTCCAGGCAGCAGCTTTGGGATGACTCAAGGAGCTCACAAAGCCCAGCTTTGCAAGACTCAGCTCAGGGGAGCAGTTTTTGGGCAATGCCTTCCACTGGATCGTGTCCTCTCCAAACTGGCAGAGCCCCAGCACAATTCCTGACCTCCGGATGAGTCGTGGAGCACAGGAGGGATGCAGGGAGGGCTGGGAGAAGAAGATTTCCCTGCAAAGGGCCTCTTTCCTCATCATTCCTGCTCTGCTCCAGCCCTCTGCAGAAGGAGAGGGCTGCTGGGAGGAGCTGGAGATTGAGGGGATTTGAATCCCTTAACAGATTTCAGCTGGGAATGGGATTCATGGCACTGTGCAGTCCCCAGCCAGCCCTGCTCAAGGGGATTTGCTCAGCAGGAAAACAAGGAAAGGAAGCACCAGCCAAGCCCTGAGTGTCCCCAGAAAGGATGGGGGCATCTGGGCTTGTGCTGGAGACCACCAGGCTCCTGCTGCTCTGGGTGAAGGAATGGGAAATGATCAAACGCAGCGTGATAGATGAGTAATGTGATGGTTGAGTCA